TATATATACACACACACACACATATATATATATATATATATATATTATATATATATTACGAGATACCTTCGACTGATACTCAAACGCTACTCTACACTTTGCCACAGATGTATACAGACTCAATCGATTCAATCACAACCAAGGTAGGCTTGTTGCTGCAGAGTTCGCTTCGAGGTCCACCCTGAATACTTGATAGCAATTATCACGTTGTCTACTTCACCCTTTCGTGTCCGTTTCTATTGTTTTGTATATGGTTGTGGTTAAGGCTGTGGTCGCCTTTCCCTCGCTTTCGACAGCTTCCTTCCCGTATATGTCCTTGTTCTTTCTACCTTTAGTCCATTCACGAATGTCCCATCACATCACTACAGACCGAAGCCGAATCTGCCAATATCCAGGACAGGACGAAAATAGGGCTCAACGGCCCAACGTTCTTACTCGTCCGAAGCATCAGCAATAATCTAGAACCCCTGGAATTACCAGGCCACAATGTGAAGGTGCTCAAGTACATTCTCGAGAACGAGTTAGAGTATCCAGGTATGCGTAGTATACGTATTTTAAATATCTAGGTATGTGTATTATTCGTTTTTTATAGTATCCAGATATGCGCAGTATTTGTATTCTATGGTATCCATGTATACGTAGTATAAGTAATCAAAGTATCTAGGTATGTGTATTATACGTCTTCATAGTATATAGGTATGTGCATTGTTCGTATCTTAAAGTACCTAGTTATGTGTAATATACGTATTGTACAGTATCCAGGTATGCATATTATACGTATTATATATAGTATCCGGGTTTGAAACCAAGCAACTTGTAATGTACATACAAATAGACAAGATTTATCCTATACTCACGTATGCACCCCCCCCACACACACCATACACAGGCGTCACCAAACTTTGGGTTGTCAACCGCATCGCCGATAGTGAGGTGCGCGATCAAATCTTCAGCGAACTCATCAAATACGCAGCCGATTTCCTGGAAATCCCATTTGTAAGTAGCGTTGGTAGACCCATCGACTGTTTGTGCTGTAGCGGAGAAGTGCCTCTGTAAACCTAGTTTATTGTTTATTCACATAACAGCCTGGAGGGGTCAGTACCATAGGCATTGCTTCTGGCTGGGCATCACTGGCCCACACAGATATATGTGTGTGTAACCTAGGCCATTGAGATATTAGGGTTTTAGCGGCTTGTAGGATTTTTAGGGTTTTAGCTAAAACCCTAAAATTGAGATAGCCATCAATCCGTGCGGTGTATCTGTGCAATTTTTTTATATAGCTTAACAGTCGTGTGGCTGAGTCGCAGGTGTTGTTGCTGGGTGTGTCTATTGTTTGTTGAAGGGTCTCTGATGTATAGTAGTGCCCATGTCTGTGACTTGTTGTCGTGTATTTAATGCCTCCTTCCTTCTGTTTGTGGTGTGCTGTGGCGTTTTTGTCTGTTGCAGGTGTTGTTGCAGGGTGTGTCCATTGTTTGTTGAAGGGTCTCTGATGTATAGTAGTGCCTATGTCTGTGACCTGCTGTCGTGTATTTAATACCCCCTTCATTCTGTTTGTGGTGTGCTGTGACGTGTTATTCTCTGTCGTAGGTGTTGTTGCAGGGTGTGTCCATTGTTTGTTGAAGGGTTTCCTATGTATAGTAGTGCCTATGTCTGTGACCTGCTGTCGTGTATTTAATACCTCCTTCATTCTGTTTGTGGTGTGCTGTGACGTGTTATTCTCTGTCGTAGGTGTTGTTGCAGTGTGTGTCCATTGTTTGTTGAAGGGTCTCTGATGTATAGTAGTGCCTATGTCTGTGACCTGCTGTCGTGTATTCAATACCTCCTTCATTCTGTCTGTGGTATGCTGTGGCGTGTTTACTCTGTCGCAGGTGTTGGAAGACTATGCGAAGGTTGAGAACATCTACCACGGCATCGGCTACGGAAATCTCGAGACGGATAACTTACGCGACAAAAAGTTCTTCCAGAAACTAACCCCCAGAAAACAGGTGTGCTAAAAATAGATTACTCCAACGAGTCGCGACTGTTAAGCTGTGCTAAAAATAGAATACTCCAATAAGTCGCGATTGTTAAGGTGTGCTAAGAATAGAATAACCGAATGAGTCGCAATTGTTCGTATGTGTATACTACCAGCTCGCTGTTTATGTTCAGGATGCGTGAGTAAGGTGTCTAGGGGACATTCAATATGACTGACAAGTGTGCACGACGCATGGCCAATTGTAGATTTGCTATGGTTGTTGAAGAGTTGTGAATCAGATGGTGTGTAAAATGGCTAAGCGAACATTTGTTATATCAGCTGTAGGGTTTGGGCTGTTTGTGCCTATGCGACGAATGATGTGTACTGTGTCGATTGTGTACTCTGATGAATATCACTGACATATGGGTTTAGAGCTTTAGGGTTTTATGGGGTTGGGATTTTTTCTTCTGAATATTAATAACAAGTTGATTTAGGGTTTAAAGTACTCATTCTTCACTTGCCCACACAGGCGGAGGTAATGGATGCCGTTCTGGCCGACAAAAACATATACGCCATCAATGAGAACGGAGCCAGAAATTACATGATAGAACAAGGTGTGTATGTAAGATTGCATATAGTGCAGTCTTATATATACGTATATACATATATACATATATAAATATATATATACATA